CGGTGGCATAGCTTTCAGCAACTCTCAAGCCACTACAGTATGACAAACTGACAGACGAGTGGTGAAGTTTGCTCACTACAGTCTAGTAAGTAAACATAAATGCTTCCTTGCTTACTGGTCCCTTCTCCTTGTGATCCTTCAAGGATAATAAATTTGAAGAGGCTTTGATGTGGGCTTGGGACAGAGGCTGACACCAGTTATTTCTAGAGGCAGAATTATTGATATGATGCAAAAATATGAAATTGTTCATCAGTGATTGGTAAGTAAGCACAAGTAAGCCCATGGTTATCTTGCCTATTGGGCAATCAAACACTAAAAAGTAAGATCCTTATCAGAAAAATTCATCTGACATCTGCAGGACAAATTATCTTTCTACGTCTGTGCTAAAGATGGAAGAAGGCAGCCAGTAAGTGACTATTGAATGTGTCAAGCAGGACATGAATTTTCCTTATTAGCTCTATGAGATGATTATTATCAAAACAATTTCATATAGAAGGAACCTTGGAGAGGTGAAATGCTTGCCTAAGAGTCTAGATCTTATAAGTGGTGGTGGTTGTTTTGTGCCATGGAGTTGGTTCCAACTGATAGTAATGTTGTATAGGGTTTCTGACTCTGTAAATCTTTACAAGAGCAGAAAGCCTCATCTTTCTCCCATGGGGCAGCTGGTAGATTTGAACTGCTGAGCTTGTGGTTAGTAGCCCAACTCCTAACCCACTACATTACCAGGACTCTTTAGATCTGGTAAGTGGGAATTCAGAATTCAAACTCTGGGCATTAGAACTTGCATTCTTAAGTATGACTGCCTATTAAGTATGACTACCTATAATATGTCACTTATGACGTTCACAAAACCCGTATGGTGAAGGCTTCCCAATTCTAGTAATATGACTATTGAGAATCAAAGAATTTAAAATTTGAGCTATGTTTCTCAATCAGCAAGTGGCAAAGTTTAAAATTGTAGCTCTCACGTGGCTACCTCCAAATCTTTCCATGATGCTCTTCTGCTTTCCAAGACTGCCTTCCCTTTACTGTCAGGGAAGCAACTAATGGCAATTGATAGTATTCAGAAGTGACTGGATAACTAGCTATAATCATAAAAGTGCACGCAATCAAAACAGTGCAATGTAGCTAACATATGTGCTTAGCAAACACTGTTAAAATGAGGTCTGGCCAATAAAATGTATGCAAAGTTAGTATAAATTGGACAACAGCATGAGAGTAACTTCAGAACTTGATTTGGCAATACTCATCATAGTAGATCCTCATTTGATTCTCTGCAAAATGAGAGGCTCAGTTTTTACTTTATTTTTATTCTCTGTCCTACTTGCCGCCTCAGAAGTGAGGAGCGACGAGCCGTTGAAGCTCTGCGGGAAAGACTTCATCCGAGCAATCATCTACATCTGTGGTGCCTCCAGGTGGAGAAGGCATCTGGAGGGAAGTCTTCAAGTTCAGCAAGGTAATATGAAGTCACCTGTATCCTAACATTAAAAAAAATAATGTTTTATTATTTTCTTGGTGAAAGCTTACTAGCAAATTTGATTCCTACTTTACAATTTCGACACAATTGTACAGTGACATTAACTATTGTGTCAATAGTCACAATGTGTCAATATTCCCTTTAACTGCTATCTGGTTCCATTCCGAGTGTTCTAGTTCCTTTACCCACTTACCTTTTCAGTTTTGCTTTAGAGGAAATGTTCTTTTGGTCTTACATAGATGGTTTTTTAATGGAACACATGTTACTTTTTAAATTTTAAAACTGTTTCCCTAAATACTGCTAACCCATGTGTATCAATTTAGGGGATTAATCATGGGGTTAAAAATAAAAGCAAATCAATACTGAATTTGGCTGGGAAAAGAGGTGTTCTTGCTGCATTTTTTAAAAATGAGGACTTTGCTTTTTAGTCTCTTTGGAATCATTTGATTACATAACTATTTGGATGAGCCTAGCATCTCTGTCCTGATGTGGTGCTGCAGGGTAATGCAGTGAACCACGAGGTCAGTTTGAACTGCAAGGTTGTCAGTTCAAACCCACCAGTTGCTCTTTGGAAACCCTATACAGGGTCACTGTGAGTCAGAACCGACTTGACAACACTTAACAATAACAAAGCATTTCTATCAGGTAAAAACATTGGGGTTACCCTTGTTGTTTTTGTTAGGTGCCATGGAGTCGGTTCCGACTCATAGCAATCCTGCACAGGGTTTCCAAGGCTGTAAATCTTTACAGGAGCAGAAAGCCTCATATTTTTCCTGTGGAATGGCTGGTAGTTTTGAACTGCTGGAGGAAAAAGGCACATGGTGGATTAACACGATTTTCACACTTGGATAATAAAGAATATAAGAAGATGGAATTTTAAAAGGTGCTAGATAAGGGTAGGAAATATGGAATCTAATATTTACGCATTTATTAAGTATGACAGCTTCATGTGCAATAGTTCACTTGGACTGGTGACCAGGTTACTCTGAAGTAAGTGATATTACCACCATTTACCACTAGATCAGAGCCCTTAAGTGGCACAAACAGTTGAGCACTGAGCTACTAACCAAAAGGTTGGTGGTTTGAATCTACCCAGGGGAACCTCAGAAGAAAAGCTTGGTGATTTACTTCCATAAAGATCACAGCCATTGAAAGCCCTACACACAGTTCTTGAAAACACATGAGGTTGCCATGAGTTGGAATCGACTCGATAACAATTGGTTTGGCTTTCGGTTTTCATCATTAGACTGAAAAGAAAGCTAATAAACTACATGGCTAGGAGGTGAATCAGGTATGTCTGGCTTCATTTATTCCACGCTGCTTCTGAGGTGGGAGAGAAAAAGTGGTGGGCTGTGGAAACAAATGACAGCATTGTGGAAGGGGTGCTACTTAAAAGAGGCCCAGAGGGATGTGTACTATTTAAGGAGAAAGGCTGATGTGGGGTGGGAGTTCTAGTAATAGGAATTGCGTCATCAGAATTTGAAGGTGGGACTGGACCTAGTGTGTTTCAACCAGAGTGAAGGACTGACTTCATTACACTCATTTCTCTCTTCATTCAAGTAACTTAGAAGTTAGCTTAGAATTCCTTGTGCTAATGCTATGTAAAGCAGAGATATACTTTACTTAAGATACTGTTTTAATAATAAAAACAGTTGTATTTCATCTGAGGACTCCAGACTCATAGAAAGAGAGGGACTGAATGCTGCAGCCAGGAGGCAGGCTTGCAGAATGTGCCCTTCGGTTGTTTAAATTATTATATATCCCCGAGTGCTTTTGCATACATCTCCTCTCACCAGAAAAACAAAAAAAAACGGAAGGAATGGAAGCAAATACTGTTGAATGATGATGCACAGAGGAGATTGTAATCATTGCAATGAAATGATGGTGTAAAGCCAATGTTCTCCCATGTAAACTATTACTCAGTTCACAATTAAAAAAAAAAAAAGCAGTTGTATTTGCTATATTTTTAATAAAAAGTTAAACAAATGTTTTCATAATGAATATTGCAATTCCACATATGATTGTAAAGGTTTCAGTGTGGTCTTATGTGACTTTGGTAAAAATCTCTAAAGTGATTTTAGAGGATGACCCACAGTGTTCATAGTTTTGGTGGGTTAATGTCTTGGGAAAATTCATGAACTAGCCCTGTGCTCTAGAAAGAGAAAAACATTACCATTATCATTTCAGTATTGAGAGGTTTGTAGTTACAAGAAGGTGATAGAACGAATAAGCGTTTTTAATCGAAGGCTAATACACTAGTAAGTATAACTTTTCAGGATTTACATCGATCTTTGGATTAGCATACCAAAGACTGAAAAATAGCAGTCTTTGTGAAATACACGGCACAGTGGACTAGATAAACACATATTGCCCATATTTCCTTTATACTATATAGTCCCAATGCTGTCTATTTAGACTTTGATGAGTTTTCAAAGTGCTTACATATATTATTTTACTTCAGTTACTGATTTACAATCAACATTCATTCTACTGTTTCTTGGTACTTGTCAGTGTCCTAAGGTACTGATAAATTAGTCTGAACTAGATCAAGAGGAGAGAGACAGTAAACTTTGGTAACAATACTTGAATAAATCTACAGTGTTGTTGTTAAGTGCTGTTGAGTCTGTACAGACTCATAGGGACCCTGCAAAGCGTTTCCAAAGAAGGGCTGATAAGGTTGAACCATCAACCTTGTGGTTCAAACTGACCCTGCAGTCCAGTGCTTTATCCCATAACACCACACCAGGACTACAGTGTAGCCCACCTTTTGTTGCCAGGTATAAAGCCAAAAGGAACAAGCCCACTACTGTCAAGTTTATTCCACCTTATAAAACAGAGTGGAAGTGCCCCATAGAATTTCTAAGGACTTCCACATCTTTCTGCCATAGAATGGTTGGTAGATTTGAACCGCCAAGGCTCAGAAGTGTAAACCCCCATTGTCTTCCTTCTTGTTGTTGTTGTT